CTCAATATCAGTTGTTGTGAGTTAGTAGATGAAAAGTTGTGAAAGAATTCTATCTTCGTTCTTAGTATTAGTGCAGATGAAACGCGACAAACTAAAGTAGACTTCGTTACTACTAAATGAGTGGCCTAGTGAAGTTAAAACAAACTTAACCAGTTCCAAGTCTGATATTTTGATTCTCTATGATTACAAGGCTAAAATTTGACATCGACAAATTATTTTATTTTGAAATAAAGATATATTTTGCACGCGTATGAGTTAATTATAAGAATTATCATGGCGAACAAATTTGGTATGCTAGTGATTAGATTTCTGTTTCAACTTGTATTCTGCCACAATAAGATCAGCTGCTCGTGCTGCCACTGCATAGGCCAAGGATTGTGTATTGGCTGAGAACGATGCTGGAGCTACCGACGCATCAATGATTCTCAAACGTTCAACTCCCCAAACTTTCATGTTGTTTGGATTGACGACAGACAATGAATCTGTTCCCATCTTACATGTGCCAATGTAATGAAATCCTGTAGTAGCATTTCTACGAATCCAATCAATAAGTTCGTCACGAGTTTGATAAGCAAGACCAGGTGAAACTTCTCGAAAGTTCCACTTTGCAAAACTTGGCTGTGACATAAGTTGTCGACCTAGTAAAATTGAGTTTATCACCCGATCAAAATCTGAGTCAACGCTTAAATAAGCAGGATCAATCGCAGGTGGCGTCAAAGGATTCGAATTCTGTATCATAACTGTACCATATGACTTGCACTGTTGAATATTTGGTGACAGAACTAGTGAGTTCTGCCAATCAGCTGGCCACGAATTTCCTATCATATTTCCTGTACTAAATAGCATTTCAATGTTTGTTAGGGAGCCTGTTCCACTATCATAAGATACTTGTTGTGTTGTGCTATTATCCACTGCGAATAAGACTGCGCTCAGAAAGGAGGCAGGTGGGCTTTCTATTTCCATGGCATCAGTTGTATAAACTATATTCACGACCACATCATCACGTAAATTAATACCGACGCCCGGAAGATCTTTTACGACTTCGATACCCAACGATTGTAATTGAGTAGCATTACCGATACCACTGATTTGAAGAAGTTTAGGTGAGTTGATCGTTCCGGTACTGAGAATGAGCTCTTTACCAACTGCAACCGAGAACTTACATTGATATTTTTCACTGTACAGTTCAACATGATCAACTGCAGGAAGCTCATCGCTGTTGAAGTTGAAGCCAATGGCTTGAAGACCAGTAATCATTTGTAAATTGGCTGGCCAGAATGATTGAAGATATTTCTCATATGAGGTAACTCGATTGTAGATTGAGTTTACTTGTTGTTTTATTTCCTTACCAACATCATTGATACTCATTACAAAGTTAGCGATACCGAGCATATCTGGTCCATGATTATAAGACGGGTTATATGGAAACCCTGCTGTTCTTGAAGCTTGGAAGATTGCATCAACTAATCCTTGTGTGTCATTAGCAGGATAAACAACTTTCAAAATGTCTTCCACAGCATCAAAATATGGTATCAACGTTTCAGAATTCCAGCCCACAGCGCCTTCATTTAACTCCCAAGCATCCATCCTAGGCACAAAGATAATTCACTACTTCTTGAGCAACTAACAAATCTAGCGAACGGTCTAACCAAATATTACAGAGTTTTATACTTTTCTTCTCAAATCCTCGGAAGACAATTGTCGTGGCGATACAATGGTTTTCATAAATATACAAGTTAAGCCTTTCTAAGATCAGGTCTCCGTGATCAGAAATCTTTTCTTTCCGGAATATTAGTTTATCACTTGGTCGTACCTCAGTAGTCCGAACTTTATAACTTCATGTTCTACCGTTGCAAGTAACATTATTCGCTCAAATTACTAAAAGAAACAAGTCCGTTTAGAATCGACAAATTGCAGAAAAATAAATCCAACTGAAGAAGCTTTTTATCAATAAGAGTCTAGCGGAAGCACTATTAGAAACAAAACTTTGCTACCTAAAAAGATCAATCTATTATCTTTTTGTAGGCTTTTCCCGATTTGCCAAGAAAGCCTCACGCAAATATTAGATACAAGAACTCAAACTGTTCTAAGCTATTTTACAACTGATCGATATTACTTAGAACGGCAGCTTCAGTCCACACTGAGTCTAACTTAGACGAAGCTCATATAGAATCAGATATTAAGGTATGGATCATGTATCACATTGCAATAAAGCGAACGATTTTCGAAATGATTGAAAAACTTATGTAGTCTGTCATGGTGCTTTTGAACGAGAATGAAATGAACGGCTTCTTTAATAGTTGAAAACTTCTAAAATAAGTTTATTTAATGTTTTTGGCAGTTTCTGTAAAAAAGAATGGACACAATTGCTAAGTTTTGTTTCTAACATGCATAGAGTCGGAATTGTATAGTTCGATTGAGATTGAAAAGCTCTCCACTTCAATAAAGAAACCTTTACTTTTTGTCACCTGCATTCATTCAAGAACTAGAAATATTAAAAGAAGTTGTTAGAGTTGATAGAAGATTACAAGATTTCAGTTTTAATAATAAAATATGTTTCCGATGGGATAGCAGAAACAAAAATTTCTGCACTCGAACTCACTGTTTTTTTGATAAAGCTGATCAAAACTTGAAGTAAGACTTACTCTTAGAGATAATCATCTGGTAAAAAAGTCATTGATTTTGATCATAAGTCTATTGTTTGATAGAAGTACTTAGTAATGATTGAAAAGAGAAGCATTGAAAATTTGAGGGCGTTTTATTGAGAAAGCAAAAGATCTACACTTTGATTATATCGTTGTTGAAGAGTTATTTTTTTCTTATTCTTGTCCAACAAGGAAGTTTGACAGAAATCTAAGTGTTGAAATCTGACGTACACTAAAACGATTTTGCTTGTTTGAGTGACAATATTACATTTAAATAGTTTTCTTTTTCAAAATTTTTGAGACAGATGGCTAGATCGTAGAATAAGTCACTAAATACTTACCACTTTTGTCCTCCTCTGACGTATCCCATCGCATTATGCATTGCACTTCCTCCAGTACCTTTTGCAAATCCTAGATCAATGATTCTGTCATTCAATGCCTTTTGAGCTACAGTACGAAACTTCCATTCCAATGTATCATTATGTACGACATTGAGCCATAGAGCTGGATTAGTAATATTCATATTGTCATTATTTCCCGTCTCGACACCAGCTTCAACAAGCAATATTTGCATGCCTAGAGCAGTTGCAAGCTTGGCACTGACGATACAGCCAGCAGCACCTCCGCCAATAACGATCACATCGTAGCTCTCTTGCAGACGTATATCTGATGAAGATCGTAGTGCAGAAGAGCACACAGGAATATCGTGCCGTGAAGTATATGAAGATTTAAATTTCGAACCATGGATACCGATGTAGTCGGAAAAGAATATGGAAAATATACCGATATGTAGCCAAATATCTATTGCACGGAGTCTCATACTGTCAATAACGAATGATAATGATCTCTTTTTTCGATGTATTAAGTTCAAAGAGCTTCAACAACAATTTTCTCGCGAATGTGTCTTTTTGTTACCTACAACACCAATATTTCTATGTCAACACTTAGATAAGATATTAAATGGTCCTCTTTCTACCTGCAGTTTTCTAGAGATAATTCTGTAGAAACGATGATTCATGTTTTCGAAACATAAATAAACATCACGCACCAAGTCAGTTTTGTCAAGGTATTTCATTTATATACGAATATAAGCTACTTATTGCACAGGATGAAAACTCGGACGCGAGTGCGTTAAAGACTAATTCTAGTAAAATAATAAGCCAATGTGCTACACTGTAATCTACTATATTGCAAAATAACACATACTCGGATCACATTTTTTCAAGAATAAGTAAAGCTAAGAGAACATACATAACTATTTTTAAATTCTTATTTGTGTTGAACTGCTCTTGACGGCGAGATGTTATTTATTTCAGAAACATGTCTAAACGTGTTCAGAATTCGGAACGAATATAGACGCCATTTTAGATGAAATTTGTAAAATTTTATAAATAAATCCCAATCTATCCTAGATTTAAATAGAGACATGAGCAACGAACCATGACGATGGTCTTAGTCTAATACGACAAGTCTATCGAGTTATTGTTTTAAATGACTGAAGTCAGATTGGAACCAACGAATGAACAGTCCGAATTAGCTCATTCAAATAAGTAAAGCATAAAATGCTAGCAGCAAACATGTTTAACACCTATAACTGTCATCCCATCGTTCTTATAGATCACAAACTATACGAAAAATGCATCTTGTTAATATATTCACACGAAAGCGTCTTTTGTTTTTTGGTGATTTCAAAAATGTCAAGTTTCCTGTGAATGCTTGAATAATAAAAACATACGATTTAGAGCAAGTTTTGAGATGAAAGCCAGACTTATCTTCTGAAGAATATGAGTGTGTGAGTCTGCTATTCGTTGTCTGCCTATTATTGAATTGGCATCTATAGCTACAATCATGTTCTCCAATTTTGATTGCTTTTCTCAAATTTTTATTGTGTTTATCTACGACTTTTATCAGTCTTGGTAACTTTATTGACTCTGCACCATCTTCTTTAGGATCGAATATTTCATCGTACACTTCATAACCATATGGCCATTGTTCTTCTTTTGCGTGCTCTTATCTACGAACTGACAGATATTTATTGGTTTCTTCGTAATAATTATTATTCAACTCCTTGACCAATATCTCCTACCTTCTATCTCTTCTGGACTTTCTGCGACTATTCATGGTACTCATTTCAAATGGTATTTTTTGACTCTCTATTTGCCATCATGTATTATTACTATTTATTATTTTGTGTATTACAGTATTGTCTATTATGGAAAACCTTGCGAAAACTCATTCGATTTCTTAACCGGAAATACTTATCCTCCGTATGCTTTTGATTGAACTCGATTCGGCAATATGGATCTTATGTTTCATCAAGTTGTTCGAATTCTTCTCATGATAAACGGTTGCATGGCTCCAGTTATTCGTGTACTATGATGAGAATCTGACGTTCATCGAACACTTCAATGGCGAAAACATCGAAAGATAACTTTTCAACTGCTCATTATTTCATATGTTTACATAGTATTCACTCTCTCAGGGATTATTGTAATTTTTGCTTATGCATATGGTTTTCCATCGCAAATTGCAATGATGGGCGTGTTTCAACAAATTTATCATCTATAATATTATCTTTCTCTGTCAAACAAGAATTTATATGCTGTAAACAACAATCATGAGTTGATCATATCATAATAATCACAAATCATGCAAATCTTGAGATAGATGCTGCATGCATTTATCAATCTGTTGCCAGGTTGTAACCAAATTTTCTGCATTGTTGGTGAAAACCCATTTTTGACATACACAAGTTTCATTTTGCTACCATTTTTCAATTGACAAAAAGATTAATGTACTAGCTTTTGTTGTTACCATTTTGCACTGCTTTTTATATTTGTTATGTATATTAAGTCTTCGCACATACAGTCATCACTATTCTACGTTCGATAATACTCGTATGAATTATTTTTCTTGTTGTCTCACTTGTATTGTTATGCATATATGAGTTACGTTATCTATTACCTGCGGAAATATCAAAACTCTACTGGGTTCGACCTTTATTATGCCCGGAGAAGATCATCTTTTCATAAGATGTACAGCATAAAACAAGAAATATTTCATCAAAGATGAAGCATTGCTCAAAATTTTGCAATATATCTTGTGTAATATAAATTCCTTATAATAGATCTGTTGGATGAATTCGTTGAAGAAATTTCAAATGAGTATGAGCAAGAAGGTCTAAGCCAACGAAGTAAAACAAAATATTCAGAACTGATGAACAAAATTTCGCTCCGTTGCTTCGACCTTGGAAATATTATAAGATTTGATTAAAATATTCTCGTCGGCGCAAGATACAATCTAATGGAAGCTGATAAGAATATACAAGCTGTCACTTATTACCAATCAAGTATAGGTAAGTGGTGAGGTATACTTAAACCTTCTGAAGATCGTTTGGAGTGTAGTAAGTTCAATGTCAGATAATCAATATCAATAAAATTTAAATATTCTCTCAATAATGCGTATAATAGGGATAATTAAATAATTATCATTTAAATATGTAAGTTAAATAAATATAAAACTCAAATCAAAATACCACTCTATAATTCATTGAGTATATTTCTCTGCGGACTATTCTAGTAAAACAAATACATTAGTACCATGAACATCCCAGGTCGATCGTTCCGGTCACCGGATACTGCAGGAACCGGCAGGAAAGACGCGGAAAGATCGCCGGTTTCTGCAGGAAAACACCGGAAATCAACGGAACATGGAAGCAGTATTCCGGCCGGAAATTTTTCGAACTTTTTCCGGCGGGTTCCTGCCGGAAAGAACAGGAATTGATTGGAATCCACCGGAAAAAAATCCGAAAAATTTCCGACCGGAATGCTGCTTCCATGTTCCGTTGCTTTCTGGTGTTTTCCTGCCGGAACCGGCCGGTACTTTTCGACCTGGGATGACAAAATGATAAAACAAGAAACAGAGAAAACAAGGTGAGGAAGACACGGGAAAATTAGAAATAAGGTAGTGAAAATATATCTGATGAAACACTGTGGTATCATAAGGTTTTCCTACTATAGAAAATTCTAAAAGACTAGCGTTTTAGATTGAATTGAGTTCACGATTTTATTTATGTTATTTTGCTTTTTTTGAATATCTTTTGATATGTTTTCAGCTTCAACACCCATATATTGAAAAGCCATGTTAATCTGTAACAGGGGTCCTAATGGGCTGGGCCAAGCCCAGCCCAGCCCAGCCCAGCCCAGCCCATGGGCCGAAATTTCGTTAATCGAGAACCATGGGCTGGGCTTGAATTTTTCCAGCCCAGCCCAGCCCAGCCCATGGGCCATACGTAAAAAAAAATAAAAATTTTCAGACGATATTGCGTATTATCATTGAAATTTTTTGATAAATCGAATTTGATACTTTTATTTGGTACAATATAGCAATAATCGTGAATAAATGAAACTAATTAATTATGAGTCCAAACAATGAGAAGGTATAGTTTTTCCTGAAAATGGAAAAAACGTTAAGTTCAGGTTTTTATTTTTGAATAATATAAAAATGATGATGATTTGAATTCATCAAAATTTGAGAATAATAGCTCAGAAAGTGAAGATTATGGTTATAATCCAGTACACACAGATGAATTAGCAAGATGTTTAGCTTTAGAGCTTAACAAATCCAAACTGTCATAAAATCCATTTGAGTTTTTGAAAGAATGTCAAGGAATGTTTTCTGTTCTATCGAAACTTGCTCGACAAATTCACTGTATACCTGGATTATCATCTGCGATAGAAAGATGTCCCAGTTCGGGTGATTTTATTATTAATGAAAGTCAAACATCATTAACCCATTGGCCATCGCCGCCGTTTATAAGCGGCGAGAGTCTTATCTTTATATGAAGTGAAGTAATCATTCATAATATACACTTTTTTGAAGCACTTGTCTAAAAAACAAATGTTAGTCATCATTAGCTTTCCAAATTACCATTTTGTTAAGGCACGCTACACGACTGTGCACAGAAAAGCCAGAAAGTTTTCTGAAAACCCGTTTCTTTCTTCTCTAATGTCGATGGTCAAAGTATTAAGTCCTTATCAACTCGATAATATCATAGTAATTAGATTAGTAACAATTCACTAAAATATGAGGTTGTTTTATATTGTCTTAGTTAGCCTTGGTACATTATATGTATTTATTGATATTTTTAACTTGTATGATATATTGCCTATTTATGATGCCGCTATTGATATCTTCATCTCATTTTGTATTAATTATGTATAGGTATAAAGAAACTAATGTTTCTTTTTATTTATTTTTCTTATATTAGTATAAATTTTTTGTTACTATTAATTGGAAAAAATTTTTGAAAAATAAGGGCTCCTCCCCTTCCCTCAGAAAATCCGATTTTCAGAGATGAGCCGAAATTGAAGTTTTATCAACAGAAGATACATTGAAGTCTCATCTTTCAGAATATCTATGGTTTATCAAAAAATGAATTGATTTTGATGAACTTGCTGTCTAAAATTTAGCTCCTATTATCATATATTTCGAGAAATTTTCAGGGTTTTTTTTAACCTTTTTCGACTTTTTTGACTGCTTTCTCTTTGCGTCAATATCTCGTGCAAATTTTTTTCTATACTAATTACTAAGAGACTATGAATACTTAATATTAAGGTTGCAAATTTATAGCCTATCTTAAACGTTGATATGTAAAGCAGGGGATTTTTGGAAAAATCGATTTCTAATAATTATTTTGCATTTTTTTCAAAATCGATTTTGTTGAGAATACTGTTTGCGCGGAGAAGAATTTTTTAACAACGGTTCAAGAGAAAAGGGATATTTTTGTTTTGTTGAATAGAGAACAATTATGGCTAGGTCGCAATAGAGCCCAATGTTCGAATTTCTCTTTTGGTGAAGTAAAAAATTTAAATATTTCATTTTTGTTGACACTTTTTTGGGCATGCTTTCGTGACTTTTTACGAAAAAAGTTTTTTAAAAATCAAACAAAGAAAAACTCATAAATCGAGTTCTATTATGATCTAGCCTTAAGAGCACTCTACAATCTAAACACTGCCCTGGCATGTAAGCTTATATCCTTATTGCGAAATCCTTTGCCGCGTAAAGAGTAATGAACTGGCTGGAATTTGTGCATTTCTTTGGTACTTGGGAAAATATTTGAACCATAAGCTATTCTATTTAACACTATCATTCTCTGAAAGTTTGGTTGAAACCAGATGAGAAATAACAAAGTTCGTTCCCGAGGAGGGCCCTTAATATATGAAATAAAAGAATAGGAAGGTCTATTATATATTTTTCAATATGACAATTTAAACTATCTATGCGAACAATTTTAATAACATATGCGGCCCATGGGCGCCCATGGGCTGGGCCGGTTTTTTGAAAAAAACCATGGGCTGGGCCGGTTAAACTTGGATAACCCATGGGCTGACTTTTTCAGGCCCAGCCCAGCCCATTAGGACCCCTGATCTGTAATTACCAGAACTTACGATAGTGACTGAATGTGAACGAGAAGTAATGCCAGTCGAGAAAGAATTCTTGAATTTTTCATTTTCAGATCTTCTTACAACCAACTAATCTCGGTTTTGAGCATACATCATATTTCTTCACATATTGACTCGAATTGATATCGAGAACTTCTCTAATAAAGTGTTCTGAATATTCATGTGACTTGATCAAGTTGCTGTCCAACTCTCATATCTAGAACAAAATGTTCTCTGAACTGTGAGCAATATAAGGAAATAAATTTTTTCATGTTAATATTCTTTTATAAAGCAAATTACTGACCTATTTTGTTATACTCTATTAGAAAGCGATGATATTTATGATCACCAACTTATTCTTTTTATTAAAAAAGATGCTTGAGCAGTAATGTATCGTTTCTTTTTCTAGGAAAAATAAGGACTCGTTTGGTTAGAATCAGTAAAACGAAAAATAAAGAAGTCATTATACAGGTTTATTTTTGACAGCTTCAAGTATAAGTTGCATCCATGTTACTGTTCCACTTTTTAGTTCTTCAAAATAATGATATGCATCATCTACTTGAGTCCATTCGCTAGAGCATTTCTTGGGTGGTCTACCATTGCTATTGGCTTCTAGTTTTCGTCCTTCGAATCTCCACCAACAATTATTAAATGCACAACTTGATGGTTGAACATAATTTTTACATATCGGACAAACGGTTGTTGTATCATCACTATCGAGTAGAACATCAAATTTCTTATAACCAATAGGGATAATAACAATCTGATTGTAAGCTTCGCATCGAGAATTGGTGCATTTGCCTTCAAGACATAAACCACATCTAGTTCTTCGCCAGCGTGGAGCTGTGCTAGACCATTCGCGTCGTTTTAAGCCTTGACTATTGCTCACATCCATAAATCTCAATCCTAAAGAGCCGATGTCACGTATTTTCATATTGGAATATTCTACTTCGAGCCGAGATTCTTCTTCTATACCATAAGACGATAATGTTTGCTCATCTTCATCAAGTACATCTTTGTCAAAAGTAAACAACATGTTTTGGAAATCTTCTTCATTATCATCAGTCTTTTCACGAAGCTTTTGCTTAAGCTGTTTAACAGTAGTAGAGAGATCGACGTTGAATTCATAGGTTCGCACAATTCCAACTGATCTTTTAATGTATATCTTCATGAGAGCACTATTTAAAAAGTTAGTGAAATAATTCATTTCTAAGAATTAACCCTTCGCCTTTGATAGAATATTTTAATAACTACTTAAATATTGATTTGATCAAAATTACAAGAAAACGAGCTAGAGAAACTGCTAACAATTATTTTTTCAAAGTCAATCATCTGTACTAGATAAAAATATTTTTATTTAAAATCAACTTACACTTTTGAATTAATATAATGCCGATGACTTTCACTTTTTTGCGTACGATTTTTGAGAGGCAAATGATCGTCTAAAATTTATAACAATATTAAGCAGAATCAATAAAGGTTTTTATACCTATGTCAAGTTTCTTTTAATTCTGTGTAAAATAGTTTTTTCTTTTATCGAATATTATCTCTCAGCTCTGTTATAGAGAACTCATCATTGGATCAACATAATTTTTTATTTAAACATTTTATGTCACCCATATATGAGAGGATAGGATGAATTACGGACAGAATGAAAAATGTTATTCGACAAATCTCGAAAAATATTAGTGTACTATTCATGGGTCGTACATACAAATTGGACTGTCAAAAGGAAATGCGCAATGAATATTTGTTGTTGTTAAGAAAAAATCTTACTTTACCTGTAGTGACTCAAGATAACTCACCGATTACGTAGAATGTTCGAGATTGGTTGTGAAAGAATGACATTCTTTTTCTTCCGATTTTGTTTTCCTTTTTGTCTACATTGGTTGATTTGACAGCCACTCCATGAGTATCATAAAAACAAGCAGCTAGTGGAATGGTGAAAAAAAGAAAGAGTAAAGAGCTCCATTAGCAACATGAGGAATACGAGTAATTGTGTAATATGGTGCATGAACTTGATGAAATATAATCAAAGCATTTATCGTGATAATATGTCAAAAAATCAACTTTGTTTTAGTGAAGATTCTCATACGATCGGTGTTTCAACTATGGGAAAAAACCTCGGTTGCAACATTTTTTATATGAGAAAATGCTTTGAAAAGATATTTTTTTCTAACATATTTTTCATTTTTCGAATTCCTAGAAACGTCGAAGATTTTTCTTATTGTCTCACTTTTTTTTTCTTTACTGCTACAACAAAAGTATCTATCTTTTCGATGATCCAAGGTTTGTATTCAGTAATAAATAATTGAAAATATTCTCTTATTGGAGCACTGATCCTCGATACATAACGAAGTAAAAAACATTTATTCACTTTTATGTAGACTCTTTTGATTTTGTACAGCATTTTGTCGTCATCATATCGAAAATCGAGAGGCTGCCTTGAAAAGAATCTCTCAACCGTCTCTCATTTTATGTACTTGCTAACATTTGCGTTTAGTCAAGCACGAAAAGTACGAAAACAACTTAATATTGTTTATCTAACATACCAATCGAATGAGCTGCGAATATTTTCAATGTCTATAAAGGACTTTCTTTGAAAACAATAGAATTGTTGCAAACTACTGAATTACTTTGAAAAATTGATGGTTTGAAACATAAGATCATCACATAACGAGGCATGTCAATTATGTCAATCGAATCATTTCCAATGATCATGAAAGATTTCGTCTAATGAATCGTTTTGTTTATCGAGTACAATAGTAAAAACTTGGTTTCTAGAAGATAATTCATTCTCTAAAAAAAGCCAATGTGAAAATTTCAAAATAGAGCTTATGAGAATCTCTTATCGACATGATTACTCTGGTAAATCTTGATCATTGAAAGTTGTTATTTACCATACTTATTCTGTTTCTGCGATTAATTGACTGAGGACAACCTATCGACTAATATGAATACCTACTCAATTCATTGATCGATAACGATAAAATCTTTTCTCAGCGTCAATTTTGTAATTGGTTCTTAGTTTTGACATGCGACTATTTGCAATGTCTAATTGAATAATAAAAATATCTCTTTAACATGTGATCATAATATGATACACAATTTAATGTCGACAATGATTGACGTTTTTAATTGACATCAGTTGAATATTGACTCTCAATAGTTTCTGAGTCGGGTTTTTTAGTGATTGCAATTCTATTTTTATAGAGTTCCGTCGTATTTTGATAACTTTACTTTTTATCTCGCTCAACTAAAAGCAGCCTCACTGTGTGCTATGAGTGTATTGATCGACATTAATCAATTCTCGACCTGGTAATTTATTTTTATTGATTTTCTATTTTTTTCATATGAATATTTACTATTATGTTCACCAGGTAGTATTCACAATCCTTAATTGGAAGTCAAAAGACTCCCTCTGTTTGTTATGTTTTATAGAGGATCATCGGCAGACTACTTCGAACAAATCATCAGTTCGTTGCTCAAAAACAATTTAATCTAAGTTTGAATTCATTTTTCAAATCATATCTTCAAGCGTTTCAATCCATATTCATTCAATATGATTTCACACAAAAGTTGTTTCTATTCATTGACATCTAGGAAACAATTTGTCAGCTGTTTTCAGAGACTATCGCAATATACTTTTATTTCATATGCTTCACAGAACTACATGGCGGTTGTTTGGATCCAATCCTCGGTTCTTTGATTTATATTGGCATAATATTTATATATATATTCAATATTTCAATAATTTTTTTTCATTGACTTGAGCTAGTACGCACCATAGTCAATTTATGGAACCCAATCGAATATGACATTAGGTTTTATGTTGAATTTGACAATCAAAAGGTGCCAATTTGTATTCACCACACCATGTTTAATTGATGGTGTGGATATGGAATATGAGTTTTGTTGTATGATGTGTTATTGAGATACGAGTTTGAGTGAATGCAGGCAGTTACTCAGCATTTACTTGCCTGTTACGATATTCTTACCCAGTCACACATTCACACCATATACCTTCAATATTATTTATTGTATTCTTTTTTATGAATGCCAAAATTAGCAAATAGTACGAATTTCTTAGGTAGTCCATTTTACCATTTTAGATAATGACTTTCATGAGTGATCTATAATCAAAACTCAATATATATACATATATATATATATATATATATATATATATATATATATAATACGTTCATTTATACAATACCACTAACAAGATAGTCACGATGTTCAATTTCGAAAGTTCTTAATCAAGATCTATACAATGAAGTGGAAGCCTGTTGATTTGGTCTTTAAATAATCAAATCAATTTGTTATTTGATGACGAATATGTATTGATGAATTGTACTTTCTCCAGTACTCTATTTATTTTGATCAAGTTTTCATTATACACATAGTATTAGATGATAAAGTTAAATAAGATTACTTCTAAAAGATATTGGCTTAGTCTCATATGTGTCAGATGTCATAGATTTTATCAATAGACTTACCTGTTATGTATTCTCTACTTTCTAATCATCAAACAATAGCATATGTTTATGTGTTTGATATTCTGTTTGCTGAAAATGATTGATTGGAAAATTTTGTTGAATTTTTGCTAATAATGAACTATTTTGAATGTTCGTCTTTGAAGTCCATTAAAATGGAATTGTGATTACTTTTACTTTAGTTGTTTGCGAGGAAAATAATTTATTAAGCATGTTTTTTTTTAATATTTTTTTGTCTAAATGTATAACGCAAGATATATTCATTCGAATAATCATCTTCGTGTCTAGATAATCTATTAATTCGTAATAGAATTCATCAAGTGATAGCTTGAATACTGACACAGAACCAACGTATTTTCTGAATTCCAACAAGATTTATTTAATATGAACGAGATAATTCGTCTGATTTGATTGGATGCATTAAATATCATTTTGAAAAAAAAACTGATAATTCACGGAAGGGTATGTCAATTCTAGACCTAAATTTTCAGCTAATAATTTTTTTCCAAACTTTTCAATTCACAGATTCAAAAAACCCTAATAAAAATTTCAACTAAATATAAAGTACAATGGTGACAAAAAGTTTCGTGACACTGCTGACTTGTATTTTTGTTCCGTCGTTTTCCAAGTAAAAGTGGTACGATCGAAAAGAGCATATAACATTGAATAGAACTGATTTCTTTTTTATTCTGAAATTGTAAAATATATGCATTTTTTGTAAAAGGGTCTTTTATGTGGAAATCCGGGGTATTTACTAAAAAAGTTGTTGATAACTCACTATGAGCAACGAGAAATAGATCCTCTTTTATCTTCATCTTATAGAGCTGCTTGAGTTCTACAAAATGAGACGTTTTGCGTCCGTATCGTGTGTACTATAAATGAATTATTCGACCTCGTAGAATAAGCTGGTTTTATTGACATGTTCAAGCAAAAGTAGTTTCAATATATTGAAATTACGAAAGCGTCTACTACAAATTCGAATGACTGATTTATATTACATATGATGCGAGTGCCAAACATCTCATCCTGTGGAACTCAAGCAGCTCTACAAGACAAAGTTAGAAGAGAATCTATTTCTAATTGTTCTTAGTGAACTACCAACAATGTTTTAGTAAACACTTGAAATTGTCAGATAAAAGCCCCTTTCGAAAAAATTGCGTACAGTCTAGGATTTCAGAACTAGAAAGAATCAGGTATACTCAATATTCTATGCTCTTTGCAATCGCACCACTTTTAGTTGAAAAACGATGGAATAAAAATAGAAGTCGAGAATGCCACGAGACTAATTGCCACTAGAGACTTTTCGCTCAGTGCCATTCGCGAACCAAAAGTGATAATATGTGTTTAACTCACTGATATATGAAATTTTAGGAATTAAGAATACAAAACTTATGCATCATCCCTATTGTAAATTTTGGAAGAAGGTTACTCGACTGTCGCGAACTTTTTACCACCGCTGTACTTTGTCGATTCGATTAAGAAAAAACTAAAGTTTATAAGATTTTGTTGTGCAACGAAATAACGTCTACTCAGACCA